TGACATCAGTTGCTACCCAGGAACTACTGACAGCTTCAACTGAAAATAGTGCCTTTTCCTTACAGAGAGGCTGCTGTGCACATTGGTGGTAAACTTTGCTTAAAATGTATAAACTAAAGCACAAACATACTAATTTGCTCCTCAGAAGTGATCCAATGAACCAGTTCTTAAATCTCATACTATGCATAAGATCTCCTTATTCACTTCAAACAGTTAATATTTGAGCAAACTCAAATTATGTTAGAGAAAAAGGCAAAGAAATTCTAGGTAGTGTGTGTGTGTGTGTGTGTGTGTGTGTGTGTGCACATGTGTGTGTGTGCACATGTGTGTGTGTGTGTAGTTTCTGTCATTTTTGTTACTTAATTTAAAATACTGCAATCTATACCCTAAGACATCGACTATACTGTAAAAAAAATACAATAAAATGAGAATAAATTGCTTTTTGAAAATGAATTTGGAAGGCACATAGGCTACAACCTTTACTTTTAATCTTCCCACATAAACTAATCTCAAATGAGTTTTTACTCTTTGTTATAGTTATGACCTCATATACATATAAACTTTCCAGAAGTTTATTATTCGTTTAAGAAAGACTTACTAGACTCCAGACAGTGTGTCATGGGAGTCACAAGCCCCTGATTCAAGGGGTTCTACTCACACAGAGACAGTCTATGTCTTTCGAGCCCCATTTTCAGAATGTGCCTTTGGGAGTTCCAATGTATTCATTAGAATGTTATGATACATCATCTTCATAAACAACCTAATAGTCATGTAGAGGCATGTTAAACACATCCAAAAGGGAAGTAAAAGTCACAACTGCCTACTGTGTGCGTGGTATTAAAGTGTGACTATCACTATATGAGGCCTAGCTAGACAGGCACCTATGGTTGACTACAACCTACCATGATATCCGGTCTACACTACCACATCACCTAACTTCTCTGGTATTGAACCTGCATATCAAATGTTGCTGCCTGATCCCTCCCCTGGGATAATCCTTTTGTCTTGATTTAGTGACCAGGAATTCTAATGACAAGCACCACCCAGCAGACTTTTCTTTAAGTCTAGAGCATTAATTCATAGGGAGTTTTAAGATGAATTTACTTCAAGCCAAAAGTTTAAGCTGTAGCTAAGAAACAAACAAACACAGAACAGATTATCTAATTTTATCTCTTCATTTTAGAGGAGAAGAGAATGAAATCTGGAGAGGTTCATAGATGTGTTCAAGGTCACACAAGCTAAGGACAGAGCCACGGTCCGAGTTTCTGCTTTATAATACAGGAAACTGTTGTAGGAAATTACCAAGGAATTCTGAGTGAGAAAAATTACCTTTAATGACAAACATGAGTGAACCGTAACTCAGATGCACTTAATAAGCTCTAAGTTAAAATTATGCTTTATTAAAAAAATAAGAAGAAAGGCAAGCCAGAGCCAAAAAATGATAAATCACTTCTGAGATGCAGCCGTCCTGCAGACCAACTCAGTTACAATCAACTTTAGGACCCCGTTTCAATTACTTTTTTCGTAGTTCTAGAGTTATTTCACATTGAATTATTATTCAAAAATCAATGTATAATTCAATATTGAATTATTATTCAAAATTAATCTGTTATTCAATATTGAATTATTATTCAATATTCAAAATTAGTGGGGGTAAGGAACCAAAATCTTTTTGATTTACAGAGATTTCTGTTGTAATGAGTTTGGGCCAGAGAACAGTGATTTAAAGCAAGCAATGAAACTTTCATTTTAATTTCCTAGCTCTCCCACTTTGCCCTCCTTCCCTCTTTGTGCCAAGTAATAAAGGTTAGGGTTCTCATCTCGATATTTTTATATTTGAAAGTTCAAACAGTTTGTATCGTGGCTGTTAAATCTAGCAGCTTCTTCTGCATTTCTATCTCTAAGTGTAAAATCCCATTAAATAAATGGATAATAAATTCATTATGCTGCAAACACGAATGGCCCTTGAAAATCAGGGAATTTGCCGGGCGGTGGTGGCACACACCTGTAATCCCAACACTCAGGAGGCAGAGGCAGGCTGTGAGTTTGAGGCCAGCCTGATCTACAGAGTGAGTTCCAGGAAAGGCGCAAAGCTACACAGAGAAAGCTTGTCTCAAAAACCAAAAAGAAAAAAGAAAAAAAAAAAGAAAATCAGGGAATTAAGGAATTTTCTAACCAATTCATACCAGGTAAAATGTATCTATAAGCCCCAGGGAAAAAAGATAAAGGGTTCCTCTGGGCTCTTGCCAATACTGGGTGGTAAGTACAAAAGAAACGTGTATTTACAGAACTTGGATTCTGGTACAGACAATATATACATAAAATAAAGAGATCAGGTTTAAATATAAAAGAGAGGAGCTGGCAAGATGGCCCCATAGGTCAAGCGCATGCATGCAAGCCTGACAACCCGAGTTCAATCCCAGGAACCCTATGGCAGAAGGAGAGACCACCACCACAAGTCATCACCCTGACCTCCACAGATGCACGATGGCTGGCACACACACACACACACACACATGCATACATATAAATAAATCAATGTTCAAAAAAAAACAACAGGTTGAGATGGCTATTTCTCAAACAGCATATATTTGTGGTTCCTATTAAAGTAAAAGTAGTTAGCTAAAAAAATTATACATATTTAAATGTTGTTAAAGGTCTATTTTTATGGAAAATATGAATCCAAATGGATATAATTGTATGGATTTTTATAATGAACCTAGTGACCACATCTGTGGTGCTTACTCTGTGCCGGGTAGTGCCCTAAGTTTTTTTTATATGCTAATTTATTTAATTTTCACAGCAACCATTTTGGGTGAAACCTATTACTATCTTTATTTTGAAAATAAGGACCCTAAGACATCTAGACAGTAAGGGTCAAGGCCAGTTCCTGATCCCAACGCATCTGAATCTAGAACTGTTTGCTGAGCTCTGGACTAGCATGGTTTGGTCCTCAGTTTTGTTGAATTTCTCTCTGCATCCTTTTGCTATCAAAAGTTAAAGTTCTTTGTATTTCCATTAAACAATTTCATTCTGAAACACTTCACTAGCCTCTTACTTTTTGAGGAATACAAAAAGTATCTATAAGTTATTTCTGTAAATGCTCAGCCTCCATTGTGGACCGCAAACCCGCCTTATGAAGCTATGTGGAGTGCTTTTACCCAAAGCGGTATTCACAATGAGAAAACAGTTAGGCATAAACTTTAGCTACACACTCACAGTCCAATTTTTGAACATATGTATAACAATGAAAAACACATGCGGAACAACTGTAGTGGATGAGGTTCTCCCTCGCGTCCACTTATAATGAAATAGGTGAAGCCTGTCGCTTCCACAGCCCGCATTGCCCTGCGGTCTACCCCATCCTTTCATGTTTCTTCTGATTGCCATTGTTAAGACGCTCAGCCCTTGAGGACCCCATGCAGCCTCCGCTACGATGTGAGGTCAGTGTAGGAGATGGAGGGGCAGGGAGAATAATATCAAAGGTGATGGCGGGGAGGGGGCTTCTGGGCATTAAGCTGTATTTACTCATGAGTTGTCATATACAAATAACATAAAATCTAGTTCTTATGAATGCCTTACCAGTACTTGAGATCAACCTCTATCACAGCAATGGAGGAAAACACAGCGTTGGCCTTCCTCCGAACTCTACCAACTGATTCTATAAAATGCCAATGCCAACTGGCCTAGGCACCCTAGAGCACATCATTCGCAGCACTTCACAGTGTGCCCAGGTTTCCTCCCTCACCTCTCCCACCTGCCCTTGCCTTTCCTAGATACCCACATAAAGAGTCTGTATCTCCTGGCCATACATTGCTCTTGTCTGTCTTCATGTTTTGCTCAAGCTACATCATAGAGTGGCAATAGCCCCCCCCCCACACTCATGGTCCCGGGGTTAACTGCTGCTCACGGCTGAGATTCAGCTCAAACACCATGTCCTTGTGTGAGTCTCTTAAACTCCAGAGACCTACCTCCCTTCCAATACGTATTTCCCTAGAGAAAACAGCTAGGGTCATTCTGCTCTGGTCTCCTACTCTACCCAAGGCACAGGCATGCCCGTCTAGCCTTATCTTCATATGGTTAGAGGGCCTCATACCACTTTGTTTCCATCCCCTCCTTGCGGAAAACCAATCAGCTTAGCCTTGTTTATCATCACATCCTCGCTGCTTAATACAGTGACCGGCATGCATTTAATACTCAGTAAATATTTAATGACATAGTTAAATCCTCTACCCAACATATTAAGAGATATATACAGTGATGGGAATATAAATAATATTGATAATCATATTCGCTGACATAAAACATTTGACCATTGTGAATTTCATGATAAAATTAAAATATTAACTTGAATGATATAGACATGGTGAAATTTTGAACTTCTAGGCTTCATTGGTTTAAATGCTGAATAAATCACATTTTTAAAAAGTATAGTGGTTTTAATTTATGAACCAGTTTGAAACATGTTGTATTAGTTCTGTTTATTTGGGTCTTGTTAAACAGAAAATCTTTTCTTCTTAACTACAGTATAAGTAACACAATTACCTTAAAGTTGCCCGCTTTTTTTTTTTTTTTTTTTTTTTTTTGGTAAGGAACAGCCACAGTGAAAAACATGGCATTCCCTTTAACGAGATGAATGCTCTACTTTGTATGACTTGGGGCAGTTTCTCCGTGAGACTGCCAGGCTCTCTAGTGCACTATGGTTTGCAGATGTGTAGTGTGCTCTAGAGGACAAGAAGACTCCATGAATTACTAGTGACGAGTAGATGCTGGGCAAGGAAACAATGCTTCTAATATTGAAAGGACTGTGGAAATGAGTGTCATTCAGAGCAGAGTGATGACCTAGAGCCATGGCCACTCTCTCCATCTTCAAATTAGGGTCCAAATAAAAGGGATGGAATTTAGTAAGGCCTGGTAGTTTCACCAAATAGTGTACCAATTCCTAGAGCAGAAATACCCACTCGGCCCAGTGTCCTACTACAAAGAGAACAAGCAGCCACCTGAGGGAAGCCCACAGGCTCGCAGGGCCACCGGCTGGCTCTTGGTCACCAAATGCAGCAGGTTGAATGCAGACATCACTGGGATCTATCTTCAGCAACAAACCCACAGGCAAGACCAGGGCCAAAAGCTGAGGAGGAGAAAAAAAAAAAGAAAAGAAAAGAAAACAAGAAACAACGAATTAAAACATCACACACAATAGGCACGTTCACTCAACAGCTGACGGTTTCGGGCTTACAGAGCTAAGCAGACGCACAGTGCTAGTACACTGCCCATGTTTTCAGACAGCAAGCCGACTCTCACTGTTATCACTAATTCTTCCAGTGCACTGAGGAGGCAGGTTTTATCCCCAGTACACCTGTGAGGGGAACCTGGGGCCCAAAGATCCAAGGCCGCAAGCCAGTAGAGCTTGAACAGAGTGAGGAAACACCCATGTGATGGCAGACCCGTAGTCTGTCCTTATGCACAAGGCCTTCGTGAGATGCAGAAACTCACGCTTTAAGACAAAACAAAATAAACCCCAAAAACCTAAGGACAATGGAGAGATTTCACTCCACACACCGTTAAATTTGAATAGAAGCATAAGGAACACATACTTGTGTTCCATTTTCTGATTTATACTTTCTAACTAAAATTCTGTGAGTGGTCCTCATGACCCAACATTGAAAGGGGTAAAAAAATATTTTACTGAAGTCTTTGGAAATGAACCATGTAGGAGAATCCCCAAACTGTAGGCTGTTCAGCTTGCGACAGAAGTTCAGCTCATAGGGTTTCCTAAACATTTCACATATTTCAACAGCTTCAATTGAAAGTGGAGGATGCTCGGTGCTTATCCATTTCTGATGCTTTATTTAAAATTACCATGTTAAGTAACTTTAACTGCCACATGTCCAAAGATGGAATAAAATTAATGTCTCGCTCATTTCCTGATCACGACCACCTCCATTCCCCACCCCAAAATAAAAGTCTTTTCCTGGACTCTCATGACCCCCTTGAAGAGCAAACACATAATAAACAGTAATATATTTGACCAAATCGCTCTGGACTATATCTGACGGAAATCTGCTTGTATTAACATGCCTGAACTCTGACTTCCACAAACTAAACTCTCCACAAAACTAAAACATTTTTGTGTTCCTAACTGGAGGCGAAGTGGAGGGAGAAAGAGAGAGAGAGGGAAGGTAAGAGCCACAATGCACAGCCTGAGAGAACCGTTAGACATAAATAAACATGTCATTTTCACGAGTGACTGCAGAGCAGGGAAAAGAGTGCATGCCTTTGGAGCAGACTACTGGCTAATAAAAGATCAAAGGTCTATACCTCACAACGCCATAAATAAAAATGTAGGGTGTTTTTTTTTTTTTTCCATGAGACCCTTCCCCGTGAGGAACAAAGTATGGGCGGTAAATGTAATTACTTAGCAAAGCTCCGGCCTCGCTGCGCTCCCACAGCTGACCATAAAATGTCTTCCTATTCTGTTTCATCGACCGCTGTACCAGGCGGCCTGGGCGCCTACGGATCACTGTGGCCATCTGGCTTGTGTCAAAACCAGCACACAGGAAGAAAGGGAGTGACGTCACTCGGCAGGTCAGGCAAAGAACAAAGATGCCTTCTACAATTAAAAGCCAAGGAGCGCAAACACCAGGGCCTCCATGGGACTGCCATTTCACAGTCCTCCTTACTCCCTGTTTCCTACCCAAATAGCCAGAGCTCCATCTAGTGGCAAATTGGTTTTGCCCAGTTTGGGGGTTTAAACTGTTTGGTTGCGGTTTGGGCTTTTCAAGTTGAGCCTGGAAGGGCCAGCCACACTAGCACCAACCCGGTGAAGCCACCAGCGGAATTACTGTGGGAGGCACCTGGCCTTTTCATGCTGAAGGATGGGGAACCAGTCAGAGTGAGGTCTACTTGCAGATCTCACCAATAACGACTTTATAGGTTGGAAAGTGGTGTGGCCCTAAATACATTGATGGGCACAAGAATGTTAGGGAAAAAACGGACAGACTTACAGAATGCGTGTGAACGGTACGGTAGCTGAGGGTATGTTTCTGAGCTACAGCTCGAAAGGCAGTTCTGAAGAGTGCCGTCTGTGGCTCAAATCCACAGCCCCCACTTCCATCAAGCAGAAGAGCCCCTGGAAGTGTGCTTCTAGTGGGTGAAGCCAGAGACAAGCTTTCTCTAGAGCACAGGAATGATGGTTTTGTGAAGTTTGGGGGGAATAGAGAGAGTGTGTGTGTTTACACTTGCAGTGAACGGAGCAAACCCCGACAACAGAGCTAGAGCATATAATCCATTTTCAGAGAGGTGCCTATCACCATGGATGCATGCAAGCTATGGAGCCAGACGGCCTGGCTGGAACCCTGGCGGTACCTGTCACTACCTGGATGACCTTGGACAAGTCATTTACCTTCTTAGCATCTTGGTTTCTTTGACTCTAAAATAACCCCTAAATAAATTAATTAGCTAAAAGTACCTCCAACAATGCCTAGTGTATATATGGTATATGTTCAGAAAGAGCTGGTATTATTTAAACATGTCAAATCATTGCCGTGTCTAATATTACATGAGTTTAAAAAAAAAAGTCTTGAACATAAATTTTTCACCAGTACATTCTGATCCCAGTTTCCCCTCCCTCAGCTCCTCCCAGATCCTCCCCACCTCCCCACCCATCCAACTCCACACCTTCGTTTTTCTCTTTCTCACCCTATCCTATCCTACAGTATGGCCTGATCAGCTGCTTATCATCCCCCGCAAACAAGCCCACTGTTTCCTACTACCTCCGGGTCTTGGCTGCAAGCCACTGCCCTCTGCTACCACTCCTAACACCCACTGGCCAGAACTTAGCTTTTCTGATGCTCCTGGAGCACCCGACATGCTCTCGCCTCTCCTGGGACCATTCTGGGCATACTGGTCTGCTTTCATCCCCTCTTCTTCCAGATCAAGCAGCTCTTAAGGGCGGGGAGGGGATCCGTTCCATTTTCATATCCCACTACCCAACACATAACTACTAACGATCTGTCCACTTCCTGCACAGAAGATCTGATGGAAATAACTGACCTACGAGACTGGTTGTTTGGGGCCCTCGTTTCTAATGTTGCCAGGTCCCCTGCTGACAGTGCCTAAAGGAATTACAGTCTGTTACACATGTCTAACTGCTTGCAATTCCTACGAGAGCTGGGAGGGACGGTGAAGAGCATCTTCACTTCAAATTCAAAGATAATTCAAATGATATTCAAGTTCTGCTCTCCCATCTCCCTACCACCCCAGAATGTTAACATCCAGATCACGACTAAAGTCAGTTTGCTAGTGTTTGGGGTGTGGATCCGCCCTGACTCCCCCCCTCTGCCTTTTCGCCTGAAGTTAAACAATGTACCATACTGAAGAGAGATCACTGCCAGGGGATCCAGAGAATTCACCAAGTTGATAATTAGTTCCAGATAGAGTGGACTGGACCAGTGGACTTAAAAGCCATCAGCCCTCGAGGTCAGGGTCCTCTCCAACAAACGCAAAGAAATGTATCCATTGGTGCTTTTCACAAGCTAGTAACGACGCCCTCCCCAAAACTACAAAAGGTAAGCGAATTGACAAATTTAAAAGTTGTCAAGGACAATTTTAAAAAAAAAAAAAGTAACATTCGACTCTCCCCAGGCTCTCAAGAAAGAAAAGGTATGCTGACAGCAAGGACCAGCAAGGACCAAGGAAACAATCCTAGAACAAAGACCACCTTTGACAGAAAAGGCTCAGCGGAGGGGCGCGGGTTCATGTCACCACCGTTCCCATTTCATTCAGTAGAAGCTTCACCCTGGTTAGCACCTCGGAGTCACTGATTACAAAGTCTGCTCTAAAACTCTATTAAAAACACGGTTCTCACCCCCACGGGCCTGACACACACTTTACTTGCTGAGTGAATGGGTCACTCTTTTAGCTGCTGCTTGAGATCAACAGCAGGATGGGTAGTGATGAGTACCTATGGCCTTTGCTAACCAGAGATGCTTCTGCGCAGAAGGCCGGCTTTTAAGAATCCTCTTTCAAAGCATTTTCAAAGTAGATGATTTAGACTGTTTTAGAATGCTGGACATTCTCTTCCTCTACTTCCTGGCTCTCTGTGACATGAACTGAGCGGTTCCCCGTGCCTTCCCCATCAGGACAGACTAGTCTTCGAAACCATGAGCCAAAATAAATCTGACTTTTTTTTTTTTTTTAAGGAAGGAAGGAGGGAGAGATGGGACAGGAAGAGACATGGAATTTTAAGTTCCTCGGTTCTCGAATTTTAAGTTCCTCGGTTCTCCCGGAAAACAATCTTACTGCAGCATGGGAAACAATGCATCAGCTGCTGACTGAGATGCAAAGCCATTGACCGTGCTCTCAAGAACTTACTGGTGGAATCGGGAATACAAAATGTGGCCAAACTCCTTGCTCTCTTGGGAGAGCAACTCCCAGCTTCAGAAGACAGAATGTCTGGTGAATACTGGGATTTGAAACAACTACTAAGATGTATAAAGGAGAACTCAGCTTTCATTTTTATATCGACATGTCCACACATTCCTGAACATTTTTATCCTTTACACTCCAAAGAATCAAGAACTTCAAATATCTTTGTTTATGTAGCTATACCCATCAATACTTACTACAGTAACAAATTATGAGTGAACAAACTTCACAGTATTGGCTACAATAAAATAATAAATAACTTGCAAAATTACTATTTTAACCTTTTAATAAGAAATCTTGAATAAATTTACAAAATTGATATTTCAGTGAAAAATATATTATCCAAAACAAAAAAATATGCACATGATGGGGAGAGTTTTATGTTTTTGCAACCTATTGGATATCTGCCTTCAGAAAGCACAATTTTTCTCACATTTGTACTTCTACAGTCAATACATCGGGATATGTCGATCTGGATGAAGTATGTACATAAAGCAAATGCACCCACACAGACCAACAGTGGAAAGGGAACAGGACTGTAGTAACCCTTTCCGATAACTGTGGCTATTCTTCGTTATCATATGAAGATTAAGAAATGACAGCCTGAAACAACATCAGTGAGCCTTCTCACACTGTGTTGCCTTAAAATCGACGGGTCTAGCTTGCATCCTCTAAAGATTTAATTCTTTCTTCCTTGTATTA